ACCAGGGAATTTAAAACCAGTCTATTGCACTGCACATACTCCCTCAATGGAGATCTCCCTCTATGAGGTCTTGGGCCCACCATGGATATTACACAAGTTACTTGAGCAGAGCCTGGAAATATTACATTTAAAAAAAAAAAAAAAAAGCTACAACTGCCAGAATTTTCCAGCTTGAACATTCTGGGAACAGATTGAACATTACAGATTCTGGGAACCCATCTGTAAATTGCAAGAGTTTCCTTGTCACAACTCCCCAATCCCACCTCATTGCTCAAAAATGGGGGGGAAAATCCCCTTCAATTTGCCCCCAGATCAACCCAAAATGAAACCAAAATGGTATGGGATTGCATTATATTACTCCTCCACAGTTGCCCACCCCATTTTATGGAACAGCCTTTAACACACACACATACCTTCAGCAAAACCTGCCCTAGGCTTCTGATTTCACCTGGCTGTTTAAATGCAAACTGACTCTTCTCTAATTGTCCACATTACTCATAGGATTGCATCCGGATATATGACTAGCAGATACCTGCTAACAGTGAAGGAAGAGGGACAAGCAATTTTTGCAGATACCCCACTTTCCTCCATATCTTTTCTACCATCTGAAAATTTGTTCTGCTCTCCAGAGAAGTCAGAGAGACATGGAATGGACAATCTAGATATAGGCCACATTTAGTCTCTCCCAGCTCCTCCATTTAATATAATGAAGCCCTCTGGGCAGGGAATGTGTTACTTCTGTGATCAGTTTGGTACTCAGAATGCAGTTGATGCTTAATTGTCTCTTAAACAAGAGTATCACTGACACCAGCATCCTTTGGGTGCTGCAGTTATTAAGAAACTCCAACACGGATAACAAAATGACATGTTAATAAGAGTTAGAATTTCATATAGCACTTTAGCGGGTTCAAAATACTTTACATTAATTATCTCTAGTAATCTCTTTCAGCAGTCCTGCAAGATAGGTCAATGTTATTATCCTTTTATAATACAGACTGGAGGTAGTGTTAAGTTTTGGCCACATAGTACATTTGTGACTGGGGCAAAGTTTGAACCCAACTCCTAGTCTGCCCACTTCGCCTCTACCCTGCACAAGTTGTTATAAGACCGAGTGGGCAACTCTGGCATGTCCAGGGGCCAATTTGTTGCCCTAGGTCTTTCAGCGGAGACCTAGACTGCCAAAAATGAAAAGAACAACAACGGAAATCTGAGGAGACTGGGGGTGAGGAACCTGAAGTGAAACAGTAGCCATATAGCATATTTAAATAGTGAATAATTGTTCCTGGAGAACCCATTTAACCTTTTAGTGTGTGAGAAAAGAGGGTACAAAAGTAGCATTGCGGGTCAGCTGCCATAAGCACTGTGTCAACAGCCTGGCATTTCCCTCTAACATGAACTGGCTGCCTTGTATCAGATGCCCTTTCCATACAAGTACCAGGTGATGACTTCATTTAGCCCTGATTCTGAAGGTTGTTTTGCTTAAAACATTTGTCAGTGTGACTCCAGTTGGTGGCATTTTTTCTCAATAGACAGCCCATCTTTAAAGGGAAGATGAATCGCAAATAACTGCTTGCTTCTCTTTCTTCTATGTATCATGCTAACTCTGAAGACATCATGTCCTGTACTGGCCCCTCAGATGGTTCAGGAAGAAGATGTTATTCCTACAATCTGGGGTGAATGTAAGAATCCAGATCAATGAGGAAACTCATCCAGATACTCCACTGCAGTATCCTTAGGCAAGCAGTCAAACAGACAAGAAGTCAGTACAGCAGCACATGAGCCTAAATACCCTAAGACACCAAGTCCCATCTGATCTTGGAAGCCAGGCCCTGGTTGTTGTTGTTGTTGTTCTTGTTATTATGTATACCCCACTCTTCAGCCAAAAGGCTATTACAAAGGGATTAATTAGACCAGGGGTAGGCAACCTTTCCCCTTTAAGGGCCGAGGGACTTCAGCTCCCAGAAGCCTCAGCCATGTTGGCCAATAGTCCCATGTTGGCCAATAGCTTCTAGGATTCTGGGAGCTGAAGTCCCTCGGCCCTTAAAGGGGAAAGGTTGTCTACCCCTGAATTAGACAGTTCCCTGCCCTCAGGCTTACAATCTAAAAAGACAAGACACAAAAGGAGAAGGGAATGGTAGTAGGGAAGGAGATCAGGTCCAGCAGATCTTCTCTCTCTCTCAAGCCTGGACCAAAGCAGATGGCCTGGAGAGAGGGCCCTTCTTCTTATTCAGGCCATGCCCAATGGAGCTGGCCTGCCTGGATGGGAGGCCACCAACAAATATCAGGTGTGGTAAGATATATTTCAGAGGAAGGAACTGGCAAAAACACCTCTGAGTATCCCTTGCCTAAGAAAACCCTATGAAATTCATGGGGTCACTGTTGGTCAGCCAGCAACTTGAAAGCACATAGACACATGTGAGAGAATCAAAAGTAAGAGTTGCAGGTCCATGGACAGATCACTGAGTCCAAGGCATTTCCTCCACTGAAATCCTAATTTCCACCCTTATGCCCCACCATTCCCAGTGCTTCAATCCCAACCTAGAGGAACAGATGTCTCTTGGGGCTCTGATTTCAGGGATCTCAGGTTCCAAGTTGTCACTTACAGGCTTATGAATAGTGACTAGGCCTTGTTTCTCTCTTGAGCATGTGGATGATAAACTTGACTATTTCCTCCCCTGTAGCATTTGAGACCTAGATTCTGTTTTGTATAGACTCTCCACATCACTGGAAACTCTATATAATTCCCAATTACATGACAGCTGATGTATACAGGCTTTGTGTTATATATGACGCTAGTCCCACATCTCTCTCTCTCTCTCTCTGTGGATAGATAGATAGATAGATAGATAGATAGATAGATAGATAGATAGATAGATAGATACCGGTAGATGCTATCATGTATGTAATTGGGAATCTTAATTATATAGGGTTTCCAGTGATGTGGAGAGCCTATGCATAACAGCGCAATACATTTAACATAAGTGTGAAAGTAAATGTTTAAATAATCCTATGGTTATTTCCTCAGCTCTTAGTTGTATTTTCCTTCATGGAAAGGGATTGCACTAGATGGTCCTTGCATTCCCTTTCAACTCAGTGATTCTATCATTTTATGAAATCTGCTGTTCATTTCCACCAATAAAGAAATTAGCCCAATATGAATCTTGTACTTTGATTCAGTCTAAAATTAGAAGGCTGAATAAAGTTTGTTGAACACTGTAGAGCAGGGTTAGGAAACTTTGGTCTTCCATATGTTTTCCCCCTACAACTATTTCCAGCTCTACCCAGCATGGTTAATGGTAAGAGAATGTGATGGTTGTAGTCCAAAACATTTGGTGGGCTAAAAGTGCCCCACGTTTCCCCATCCGCTTCTTCCTTCTTGATCTCTCTGTGCCCCCCCCCAATTCTGGAGGGTCTCCCAGCTCTAGTTTTTGAGAGTTTAAGGGCTGTAGGGATCCTCTCCCATTTCACTGGTGGAATCCATTGCAGTAGTGGGTTAACTCAGTTCAACCCTAATATTATATCTATGGGTGCTTGAGGATAGTTTTAATGGTTATTGGAGAAAATATAAAATCATATAAACCAATTTAGAATCTCATAAGTGGTTAGCCTGAGGCTCTCACGGGGTCAAGATCAATTTTATGAACACACTATATCTTGAAAGGTTTTGGCTTAAATCCAAGTGTTTCAACTAGATCAGGCCCAGTGAATCAATGGAGTGCACATGAATGTTTACTTACTAAGTTCCTAACTTACTAAGTTAGTTGGGACTAACAATTGGATTTAGGCCTCTCATTTGTTTATATCTGCTATATTTTAGGCTTACTGTGTTCTCCCTTAACTAATACTACAGCTCCTTCTCCAGCTCTCAAACTGTATGTACCAGACAGAGGTTAAGAAATACCTACTGGAAACAGTTGTACTGATTGTTTCCCAAATACTGTCATTACCAGCAAAACTGCATATCACGTACCTATGTTATGTACAGAGCCAGTGTGATGTACTGGTTTAGATGTTGGACTAGGACTCTGGAGACTAGGGTTCAAATCCCCACTCAGCCAGGCCAATTCCCTCTCTCTCAGCCTCAGAGGAAGGCCATGCCCCCCTCTGAACAAATCTTGCCAAGAAAACCTAGTGCTAGGTTTCCCTTAGTGTCATGGTAAGTTGGAAACAACTTGAAGGCACACAACATTATGTGCTGTTGATATTGGATTTCTTGTTTGAAATCTAGTCTTGTTCTTATGACGTAATGGCCAAAATAGCTGCACTTATGACCACAACATTAACATCTCTCTAAGTCAACATCAGAACAAAAGATGTTTTCCTGTTGCTCAAGCATTAACGTTTCAAGGCCTTGCTTAAAGTATCAGAGGTACTCATCTGGGGACCAAACCTTGGAGAGGGGTGGTAGCAGCAATTGAATCAGGACTACAGTGTGGAAGCAAGTAGTTAATACTTTCTCCATCTAGTGTTTCCTTGACTTAATTTCTCTTTGAAAACTGCTACTAACCACAAAGAAGGAAAAGGAAAGCACATTATAGTATACATTTAACCCTTTCCACACATATTGTTTCCCTATAGTACCCCCACAAAATCACTATCCCTATTCTTGTCTCTGTCTGCCTTTTGACAATGCCTTTGCAAAATGTGGTTTGCTTGTACTGATGCACACTAGATCCCTTCAGTCGTTAGACTCTTTTCTGTGCCTCTGGAAGTTAGATCACTGAATAAACGATAGAAGCATCTTGACTCATGTGTACAGAGCTTGCAAATGTACATGTAACGCCAGGAAGCCACTCCAAATGCCACTGAATTGTTCATCCTCTGTTCCCCACCACATGCATCTTCAACAACCTATTTTCACAATATGTGGTGAAGGTGTCTACCTCAGACAGTTTTTCAAAAGGTTTAAAAGGGGACAAAGCTAACAATGGCTACTAGTCAACAACGGCTGCATGATTCTTCATGGATCAGAGGAATATTTATTTGTGTGCCGGTTGCTGAGGAATGACAATGGAAGAGTGAGATTCTGAATTCAAGGTGCATGTGATGGTATTTAAAGCCTTAAACAGATTGGGACCCCAATATTGAGGGAACGCTCTTCTTGTATGTGCTGGCCTGAACATTGAGACCCAGTGGGGGAGCCTCCTCTGTGTCCCACCAGTGAAGTCAATACAATGTGTCAGGACATGGGGGAAAGCCTATTTATTCATTTGTGGCACTCAAATTGTAGAATGCCCTCTCCTTGGATGACCGATTGGTGACAGTTCTGGTTTCATTAGGTGTCAGGTAAAAGCATGGTTTTTATTCATTTAAAGGTTTATTTAAATGAAACTAACTTGATTTACTATACTTCAGATGCTAGGCACGGGCTTTAAAACGGTTTTAATCTTGTAAGTCAGTTTGAACTTGCTAATGCATTTTTAACCTATTTAAATTATTTTTGTTTTAAATTGTTTTGATCTCTTATTTCACCTGCCCTTGTCCTGAGATGCTTTGACTTAAAGGAAGGATATAAATGTTGTTGTTAACTGCCTTCGAGTCATCCACAACTCATGGCAACCCTGTGCATGAGACATCTCCAAGCCTCGTGCTCTGCTTAGGTCCTGTAAATTCATGCTTGTGACCTCCTTAATTGAGTCTATCCATCTAGTTTGCAATCTTCCTCTCTTTCTGCTTCCCTCCACTTTTTCTAGCATTATTGTTTTTTCTAATGTGTCATGTGGCCAAAGTATGACTGCCTCAATTTGATCATCTTGGCTTCCAGGGAAATTTCAGGCTTGATCTGCTAATGATCTCATTTGTTTGTCTTTTTGGCTGTCCATGGTATCCTCAGCACTCGTCTCCAGCACCACATTTCAAATGAGTAAATTTTCTTCTTATTTGCTTTCTTCACTCTCCATCTCTCGCATCTGTACATGGTGATGAGGATTGCCTACAATGGCTTGGATGATTCTAACTTTAGCGCTCAGTTGTAAATCTTTACTCTTTAGGATTCTGTCTAGTTCTTTCATAGATTCTTCCTAGTTACTTTCCATTTCTAGTCTTCTGATTTCTTGTCTGCAGTCTCCATTCTGATTGATGTTTGATCCAAGATACAGGAATTATTTTACTATTTTGATTTCTTCATTGTCTAGAATAGACTGAATGTGTGTAGGTCCTCCATGGTCATTATTTTGAAATATCGTGCTCATGTCCTGTTTGTAAGTGTCCCAAAAGGAGTAAAGGGGCTAGCCTGTGGTGAGAAGAATAGATGAATGTAGGGCACCCCTATGAGGATAGGGTCAGATAGTGCTCACTACACACACTACAACACTATCTCTCTACATACTGATTCAACAGACTAACACAGCTATATCTTTGAAGTATCTATTTGTTTTTGTATATTGCATTTATATACTGCCTCTCTGCCAAAAAAATACTTAAATGGATTTACAGTTTAAAATAATGGCTTACATTTGAAGACATGCAACAAGCAGAACAAGGAAAGGGGAAGAGAACAGGAATAGCCTTATTCAGGTGTTAACTAATGACATTACATAATGGCCAGGTGGAGTGATCACAGCAGGAGATAGATCTTTGAAAGGAAAAGCCAAATGATCAGATTTGGTCATGATGTCTGAGGAATTCTGGAATCCGCAGTTGAAAAAAATGAAAGCTGAATATACATTCTGGGCAGCCTTGTTGACCGTGCAACAAATTACAACAAGATACCTTAATGAGGCCAACCGGGAAAAGATGGTAAGAAAATTATACAAGGGAAGAAATGTAGTGTTAGGGTCATAGGCTTTCATCTTGTTGAGATGATTAAGGTGGTATTTAAGGAGTTCAGGAATTTGCCCCTGATGCTGCTAGGTTAGAATGACTGCTGCAGACATTTCTAGGAAAGGAAGGACTAGTTGGTCCTAGCCAAACCCAAGTCCAGGATGGCCCAAGATATTTTGCTGCCTAAGACCAAATAGCACCCCTTCTCATCCACCCATGTGTGCAGCATCCAAGCCCAACCATGCGGTTTTTGCATATGATCCAGAATTTCACAGATTGTTTGAATTGCAAATGAGCAGAGATTTTTAAAAAAAGAATATTTCTATTAGTTTCTCCTTTGGTTTTTCTGTATTTGTGAAATTCCATCATTTAGCAGCAGAATAAATTCCTGTTAAGTCAACCTTAGCTGCTTGATTACTATAGCAAAACATGGGGGCAGAATCCAGAGACATAGCTGTGTTGGTCTGGAATAGTAGTTTGCAAAGGGATCTATCTTACGGCACTTTGAGACTGAGTGAAAGAAGTTGTAGCATAAGCTTTTGGAGACTTCCTCAGTTGCTATAATCACTTTCACTCAGTCTCAAAGGTGCAACAAGATCCCTTCACATATAGCAAAACATGTTTAATAACACTCAAGAGGACATTGATCAAAATGATTTTGTGTTCTTTTTTTCCTTGCGGTTCATGCTATAAAATTCTTGTGCCGCAGCATATTTGCCTTTGCTATGTACAAGTGATTTTTTTTAAGTGCTGGCTTCTTGAATTATTAAATTCTTGTCTCCATGTTTATTTTTACTTTTGTATTTTCCAGTAATTTGCTGGACCATGTATCCCGGTCCTTTATGCTAATTGAATTACTTTGTATTGGGATTTGCTTTGTCTTTGTTTCTGTTGCATATTGAGTTCTTGCAATTCTATAACATGTACAGATTTGTGCTTTTAAAAAAGAAATTTTTACATTCATTATCATACCACACACAGTTTCTTAGAAGCCAGTACAGGTTAGATTATTATACACTAAAAGAGGGATGGACAACTGCAGTGAACCTAGATGCTAATTTGATGCTTCTAGGACCTTTGAGAAGCGACATAGACTGCTGAAAAATGAAAACAGATGTGAAATACAAGGTTTTTAAATGTTAAATGTTGGGAGTGGGAAGAAACCCACAACCTATTCAAAAAGTAGAATTAGCATTCCTCAAGGCTTCTAACTGTCCCAGTTTGTCAGGGTCTGTCCTGAGTAATCCTCTGCCATTCCACTTTTTCATCTGATTTTAAAATGTCCCAGTTTTTCTCTTCTTCTCCCACTTCTCCCCTTTGGCTTTGGCTTGTTTCAATTGCTGCAAACTGGGTTCAAAGTGCAAAAATAGTTTGCATTCTGTTGATTCAGAAGGTCAGAGAAAAGAGGAGAAGTGGAAGTGGAAGGTTGCCTTTCCCAGGAGGCTCAGGCAACAGCAACTTGTTGCAGCCTCTCCTAGTTTGTGTGCTCTTTCTCATTGCCATCTTGACCCACTTCGTGATGTTGCTTGTCCACAAGTGTCCCAGTTTTAATCTGTGAAATGTTGGAGGGTGTGGAAGCGATTTACAGTTTCTTCTTTAGACTGGAAAAAGGGCAGTGTGGGGAGCCTGGAATGGTTGGGAAACCACAAAATCAGCTTGGTACTGTACCTACAGCCCTAGGGCCACATTTGCCCATTCCTGGGCTAATGAATGTAGCAGATAAAGCTTTGAACCAGATAAAGCTGTAATAGGAAAAGGGATGGTACAAGAACAAATTTACAAGAGAAATCTGGCAAGACTAAAAGCCTGTGGTTTTTAATACAGGTCTGCTAATCCTACTTTCTTCCAACTTCCATCTCATATCTCGTCTGCACCTCAGGCCAGCAGTGAACGTACACGATGGTACTAACTAAATGTCTAAAATTAACCTCTGTTTCTCTATGAATAGAGGTTTATTCAAGTCTTTAAAATGTCAGCAAAGGGCTGAATCTTAAAATGGGGTCTAGGATTTGGATGATTTAACTGGAGATTTTGAAATGCATTGGCTTAACTGTGGAGAACAGTATACATTTTCCATCCCTCATCAATACATCATTTCAATCTAACTACAGATAGCATGTGTGTTTTCCACATTGTTCTATCACCCTTTTATGCACCAGAGAGACTGCTTTGGACAGTAATTAGCCTTTTTTCTTTTCCATTTTCCATTTCATAAAAATTGTTCTTTCATAGCAATTGGGTTGCCCTGAGATGCAAGGTGAGGGGTCACACTACCTGTTACCTCCATTTTTTTATT